TATAAATTCATTTTTCTTTAGAAAGAAACCATAGTAGTAGAGAAGGTTGGCGTGCTTTTCTTTGGAAGACAAGATATAAATAAATAAATGCAATGGCGTTGTCCTTGAAAAACATGACAGCATTGTGGAGAAAGTGACAGAAAATTTGATTTGTCTGAAAGCTTCTATCATGGAGATTGGGGATAAAGCCGGTATGACGTCACTAGCAATGACTATACATCACAAGCCTCTATATTAAAATTGTTAATTTTTCAAATAATGGATATTTGAATAGCAAGGAAGTAAAGAACCAAAAATCAAAACAAACAATGGAAAAAAACATTTTGAGTTTCTATGACATTTCAACACTGTTTTGGTCATCTTCTGGTATAACACAAATATCAGTGAGTCAAACAGCTCGATAAGAGAACAAAATAATGATCTATCTTGTTCTCTGTTTAATAGCTATGTTCATGGTGGAGCCATTGCAGGAATACTAGATRTATTTACAGCAGGTCTCCCTAATAGGATTGGACTTCGATCAGTGACAGCAAAACTTGCAGTGGATTTCAAGCTGTAAGAAATAACACCACTTGTGGCTCATAATTTAATATTTTCATGGATATTCTCTAGGTTTTGGTTATTCCAATTATTCATATTGATGTGACAATACTGCTGGTGCTCACTGCTGTTTTTGTACATTGTTTTTCAGGCCTGTTCCTGTTGGATCYACTGTTTTAATAGAAGGAAAGATTGAATCCATAGAAGGAAGGAAAATTTATATTAATGGAGAAATGAAAAGTTCAGATGGACTTCAACTATATGCTACAGTAAAAACTTTGTGTGTAGCACCGAATGCCAATCAATAAAACAATGAAACACTGTACACCCATCACAAGATCACTTTATTACTCCTCCCCCAGCAGGAATGCCAGTTAGCAGGCTAAAGGTCATTATATCATTTTTTCAGAGGATTAAATATCTGACTGTCTGGACTGTATGTAATGGTCTTTTCCTCTAAGGTTGATGGTGAATCATGGCATTGATGAAACTATCAAGATATTACATCATATTAGATGTCTCAAGCTAGAGCATTAAATAAGATGCCTATAGACTATAATCAATACTTCTTGTTGGAAATAAAGTGCAGAACATCAGAAACACAAAGGAAAAACAACAACATCAGTCAATTTGTACTTCAATCAATCCCATGGTGCATCGACAACAAATAAGGGGAAAGACCATTTTTATATATTTTTACAAATAAAAAATTAAGTTAATTTTTTTAATTTTGTCTCTACATTTTCAACTATATTTTTTTTTTGAGTGGTCAAGTTTTTTGAGCACACTTCACAAGCTCTCGCGATGCGTAAACTCACGAAGTCTAGGCGGAGTTTTTGCGATCAAATATCGATTGAAAATCTGCAACATTGTACTTTGAACATTGTCGATCGCGATGCGTTGCGTTGGTAGTCATTAATTATTAATGGTATTTTTATTTATTTCTAAGTTATGATGCAGTAAGTTTACTAGGAAAAAGATTCACGAATGCAATTTTGACGTTACTAGTACTTTAACATTTTAACAAAGTACTAGTATTTTGCAATGTCATCGAATCAAGGGAACGCGACACGCTTGAGCAAAATTGCTGCACATTTAAGCTTAAGCTTACAGAGTAATCATTTGCATCCTTRCACAAGAATTCCCAGCCAATCATTATGTAGTAATTCTACATCCAAGGGACAGTTTATCACTACTAAAGATGAAGTATTGAAAGGCAAAATCAGCTGTTTTTGAMTAGGATCGCTTCGGTATCTCAGTGTTTATCTAGGGACATACCCCATCAGTCTTGATAGTCACCGCGGCCTTGGATAACATTTAAACCAATATGTTTACACTTCTTCAAAGGAGGATAGCACAAAACAATTCAGCTATTTTGAAGCTACAACTCTTTGTTTTGTATCCCAGAAGGAGGTGCATTCATCTGATTTTCAGGGGGGGAGGGGAGAGGGAATGTGTGGTCAAGTAAAGAGGGTGAATGACTTCTATAGCGATACTCAATGTTTATCAACAAACTCATTCTTATGCTAATGTGCCAACCGTGATCAGAATGGCTTTTCACAAGTTGCTTTGTTGTAAACGTCTTCTGGTTGGCACATGAATAAGAAAGGCTTACTTCACATTGAGTATCGCTATTTGGTGGATCTACGAGTAGATAACTTTAGGTGCCCTTCATGAAAAAAGCCCCTGGAGAGAACGAGAACAAGATTATTACTAAAGTTAGTGTGGAGTGACATAGAGATCCTTTGACTTTGAATTGTGCCTGGATACTGGTGTTCTTTTTCGAGACTGAGGTGCTACTTAAGGAGGAGCAGGGGGGAGGTATTGAGCTATAAGTGTTATTAATTCATAATTGTTTGTCCAGAAAGAAGGACCTGAAAAAGGTGAAAGATTTTTGTCARATCTACTTGATATCAGCCCAAATGAGTCATGGTCAAAAGAAACAATGAGAATTTATAATGAACTTTGHAAGCAAGTTGATGAAAGCAATGGATTATGGGAGATCTGTGAATGGYRTGCCTATACTGGTGGCAAGTACAGGTCATTCTATTCGAGTATTGATCAAAATGGAAAAAGGCTGTTTGCATTTAGTGTCATTTTAAACAAGACTGAAAAACATATGAAAGGAGTTTGTCAGTTTGGGCCTTGCACAATGGGACCTACAGGGTATGTATGCGCTTTGCTGTCAATATTCACCCATTCCTGAAAGTAAACGAGAGTCCAAAKTGGGCAAGTCTATAAATAATCAACAGAAACATTTTTGTCAACTTTACCCTTAATTAATTCAGTATAAGTATATAATTTGAAAAAAAAACAAGACAACAATTGTTTTTTCAAAATCACTAGAGTGAACTCACTTAATCCGTGAAAGTTAAATAGTATATATATAATTTTAAATAAGCTGAACTCCTTTGTATTTTATTGTCTAATTAACTCTATTTATTATTAATTAGTACTATTTGTTTCACGGATTTAGTATGTCCACTCTATTGTGAATTTTAGTATTTGCAAAGTGAAGTAAGAATTAGCCTACTCCACATTAAGAATCATGGGCTTCCTGTCCTTTTTGGGAGTCCGCGGCGGGCGAGATGACAATTACAAAGGAAGCCCAAAGGAGGAAAAAAAGAGTTTCCTGGGGAGGAGGTTAAGTAAGAATAAAGTAACTTTTGACAGAGGAAGGTTTTTTTTTATATTGGCAATTTATACTTGTTACAAAATCATTGCTTATTTTAACACATGATATCTTTGAAAGGGRGATCACTTGCACCCCTTACTAGTAAATGCAGTTCTGATATGGATGGAGGTTTTCTCTAAGGACTTTTCAKTAAAATCTGTCTGCTCTAAACATTTACAGTTTTGTTCATGGTGGGGCTATTGCAACAATGCTGGATGTGTTCACAGGTGGCCTTTCTGGTAGGTTTGGATATCAAACCCTGACAGCAAATCTCACGGTGGATTTCAAACTGTAAGTCGAATTTTCACAATAATTCCATAAATGTTAATATAAAATACAACTGATTTTGTACATTGTATTGCAGGCCTGTTCCTGTTGAATCTACAGTTCTCATTGAGTCAAAGATTGAATCAATAGAAGGAAGGAAAATGTATATTAGTGGAGAAATAAAAAGTTCAGATGGACTTCAGTTGTATGCCACAGCAAGGACTTTATTCATAGTGGTTGGTCTCAGCAATAAAAGTAAAGTGCAAGATAAGGTATGTTTTATCATAGTTAATATTAACTATGGTTTTATCAACTGATCTGATAGCCATCATATTGTATGCCGAAATTTGACATTGGAGAACAGTGCAAAAGAGTTCTAATTTTTTTAGCTACAATCTTGGACAGAATGGTTGACAATAATTCACCATTCAGCAGAGCACTTGTTCCTTCTCAATCCCTAGTGCAAATCCTTGACAGGATCCTGTAAAGTATACCTCTCGATCCCCTCCCATAGTGCCATAGTTCTTGTACATTTACATACAATCTGCCAGGACATATTGTTTTAAAAACTTCAACAAATTTACTTCAGAAGATCTCTTTGTGGGCCCCATTTAACTACATGCTAGAAGAAATAAAAATTTCCCAGCTCAATGGGAAGTCAATGAGGAAAACAGTTGGATGAAAAATCTTAACTTGATTTTGATAATCATTTGTGCAGGAAGTACCTAAAAAAGATGAGAGATTTTYATCCAAACTACAATACATCAATCCAAATGAGTCATGGTCAAAAGAATCAATACGACTTTATAATGAACTGAGGAAGCAAGTTGATGAAAGCAATGAATTATGGGTGGTACCTGAATTAACTCGCCATATTGATGACCATAGAAGATTTCATAAAACTGTTGATCAAAATGGAAAAAGACTGTTTGAATATTATGACATATTGAACAAGGCTGAAAAACATATCAAAGGGTTTTGTCAGTTTGGGCCATGGACAATGGGACCCAGAGGGTAATGTACACATTATAAAMAATGCTTTTTTGSTTGTTCACCAACTGTGGCTTTAACCTTTTTTTAATGGAAATAGAAATACTCATTCAAGTAMTTATCAACTATACAATTTTAYAGCAGAAACCRTTGCATCGCGACTTCAATGTTCAAAGGAAATAGTTGGKATTTASGTTTTTCTGCRACTTGGGGGCGGAGCTTGATACTAATCAGCCAATGAYTRAAWGAGTTTTYRAAAAGCTCCGCCCCTCAGATTGAAAGAAAGAACAAAATCCAGACAAACTTCAAAACAAAGAGGTYGCGATGCAACGATTTCCGCTGTAAAACATTTTGTTTTTTKAGCTTAGTTATAATAATCWTTGTTTGGTGAAACCACAAAACCACTTATTACGGTTACTAACATCAATTTTCATTAAAATATATCTTGTTTTCAATAGTTATGTTCATGGTGGGGCTATTGCAACAATGCTAGATGTATTCACAGGAGGTATCCCTAATAGAATTGGATATAGATCAGCSACTGCAAATCTTTCAGTGGATTACAAGTTGTAAGTAACAACACTGTCCATTGACCTATTGCTTGTAGTTAGTTTTGTATTGTGGAAATTTTTGAGAGGTTTTGGCTGAAACCTTCATGTTATATATTAATTTCTACATTGTTTTGTAGACCTCTTCCTGTTGGATCTACTGTTTTAATGGAAGCAAAAATTGAATCCATACAAGGAAGGAAAATTTATATCAATGGAGAAATGAAAAGTTCAGACGGACTTCAAGTATATGCCACAATAAAGACTTTAATGTGCACASCACGTAATCCCAATCAACGAAATGCATGAGAATACCAAATTAACCACATATGTAATCAGTTCGTTACTTCTCAATAAATTTTGATACTTGTGCATATGTCTGTGAATTTGACTTTATGAGTGAACTAAAGCTATAAGTTATATATTGTTTAAAATTAGTTTTCCTGGTATCATAGTGAACTGACAGTAATTACTRCGGGGAAAGGGAGTCCGTTTAAGCGCTCTCAGAGCGTCTAGGTTTTTAAATTTTTCTTTACAAAGTTTTTACTTAATTAAATAGAAAATAGAAAAGCGAATGATTTTGACGACTGCCCCGTCTCTATTTCCTCTGTCTGTAAACTTTGTCTGGCCAATCAAAATAACTCGACCCTAGTCTCCTAACGGATTCTACAGACAAACATGTCCGTTGAAGATGGCAAAAGTCGGCAAAAGTACGATGTATTCAGCACCAAATTGTTTTAGAAAATTTTTCAACATTTATGTTCTAAGAACATTCTTCAATGATATCTTGATGAGTAAGGTGTATTTTAAGTCAGTTGATCATCGGAAATTGGATGACAAAGCGGTGTTTGAGTGGCGTTAGTCCGTCCAGTCATTATATAAGTGAGTATTAGGGCGAGAGAAAGTCTTGAGTATTTCTTGGAGAGCATAGTCTACTATCTATGTTGAGAGGTAAGTTATGTTGTAGTTCTACATGCAAGGAATATCTTAAAGAATATAGGGTAAAAAGCACGCACATGAAAGTCGGAACCTTRACCGACCTCGTTCGGTTGACTCAGGCAGCCTATCACCTGGGACCCTCTAGACTAGTGGTGTGATTTTACAAAAGGCTAGGGGGCTGAACAGCATTTGTGACAAACAATTGCCCACGTTGCATTATTCGTATATTGAAACGAAATATCATCTTTTGGAGTATATTATGTGAAAAGACAACAACACAACTATATAGCAAGTTTTCCTATTGTTTTATATTGTGACCACCCCACCAAGGTATATGCTTCATCTTGACTCTTCTTGGGCTATCTACTRGTATCAGACCGCCACACCTTTTTGTGTATATAGTGGCATAGAGGTTTTTACAATATTTAAGTAAAAAAATCACTTGTTTTAATCAGACGTTGAATCAATTAAATATTTTTACATAATTGTGGGAATGCAAATTAAAAACATTATGAATGTGTTCTATAAAAATTGGTGATTAACCCTTTTGATTTCAAAGTGATGCTGATTTTATCAATGATTAGTGATCCTCTTGGTTCCAAAGTTTCGGACGCATGTCTTTGTCAAAGTTTTCATTTTCAATATGATTGAAAATTTGTTGTGTTTAACAAGAATGTTAATTCTGTTTGATMCAYCTTGCTGTGTTGTRGATCAGCTAARTAGARCKGRTTCTTCTCACACTATMGTGTTCAAGTTAAGCTGACTGTTGTTTAATTCATCTCCTATTCTTCTCAAGACGCTCCCAATTTCTCTGCTAATGCGTTTGTTTGTGTTGCTRATCTGGCTTTCTGTTGGYTGTTGAGTTTCATTTTKAGTGTTGCGGTCTTTGTTCTCCACTCTGCGAAAGCTCTTTCTTTTGCTACTGTTTCGGCGTACCAAAGTAACTCCCATGTCTTAAGCAAGCTGGCTTAAACCTGAATTGATCAAAAAGATGATTATTTAAGTATATTTTTGTTTTACAAATCAATTTATGTACAAAATGATGATGAATGAAGCCATTATTCAAGCCTTAGAGAAAGCTAAAGTACAAACAAAATAGCTGCAAAGAGCAAATTACTAAGTAGTGAAAAAATAGTTCTAGTTGTCATGAGTAAAAGAAAACAAACTAATTAACTTAAAATACATTGCTAATGTTTTGTGAGTTAAAAGTGTGAAACACTAATGACTAAATTGAGTAAAATAATTCTAGTTGAAGGAAAAATTGGTATGAAAAACCTGACAGCAATAAAATTAAAAATAATGATGATAATAATAAGACTTCAATAATGTTGAGTGACAACTTGCTAAATATATCAAATGAAAATCTGAAGAGGAAAACCATTCATTAAGAAGAATATGGAAATCAGTATCAGCCTAAAAAACATGTTGCATCATTTCTAAAATGATGTCAGATGAAAGTGAGTTATTATGAACGGTGATTAAGATGATGTTAACATAAGAATAGCAACAGCAATAATTAGGATAATAAATTGATAAATGATTCATAATAAAACTTGTATCATCCGAGTAAATGTACAGTCCCATTTAATAATTTTGTGTTCAATCGATAATTACAAAAAAAAATTGTCAGATTATTTTTTCATGTTTTTATGGGACGGTACCTTCTCTTTAGTCTAGAAAGTCAAATATATTGAAACATAATCTTCCTTAAAATGAATAAATAACTTTGAAAACGAAACATTGAGTGTTGCACTTTGCTACGATCTACGTTGATAGGAGTGTGCTTTTTACTTCCGTTACGTCATTTCCGGTTACCTCAAAACTTGTTGTTTGTTTATTCTTCAAAAACATCGAAATCGTTTCTCTCAATCGATAGATTTTATTTCAATTCTAAGCTTTAATTTGGAAGTTTCTGCGCAAAAACGAATCGCATTTCATGAGTTTTGAACTTGTGTCTAATTGTTTCGGTAGATTGCTGTTTTGCATGATAAAACCGAGATTGTACGGTTCTTCTACTGCTTTTAAACTAGTACGTTTTCAATAAAAAATATCACTAACAAACAGAAAATATAGACTCGCTTTGTATGTAAAGCCTGGACAAATTTTGTATTCAACGTTACAGAAAAATAATTTTCAAGAGCGTTACATGGAGAAGGTAWACTTTTTGAGTACTAGTCCTTGATGGCAAAATATTTCTCCTTTACGTGTATTTATATTTTGTATAGAACAACGATGTGTATTCTGAAAAGTTGTAACAATAACTTCAGGAAAAAAATAATTTTACGATTTTTAAAGTGAACATTTTTCCTTGGTACTTTCAACCCGTTAGGTTACAAGTTCATCCCATTCAGTTTTGCGATAAAGATAGTTRGGAAACGGTCTTTTGAATCGCTTTTAAAGTCAAGAAGAGCAGTCGATAAAACTGTATTAGTAAGAAAGTGAAGAAATTCTGCCCACACGTTTGTGAAAATGGCGGCATCCTGGCTAGACTATACCCTGTTGTGGAAAGTCTCAAAATTATGCAGTCTTTAAAATTAAAAATGCCGCTTTAGTTTGACCCCTACCTTACCTTGTATTTACCTCGTAGTCTCGGTCTGCCAAGTAGACTTACTCAACGTCGGCCGTGTGACAAGACGTCCTCTAGTTCGCCTGGGGTATTGAATGAGTAGTCGAAACTGTAGCTCGCCTTTTGGAGGTTTGGAGAACAATTGCCAAGGAACTTGATATGCTTGTAAAACTTGGCTGCAGAGCTCACCATGACGTAACRCGTCGAGAATTGCGTTGTAGTCGCTCTGCTGTGATTCCTCTTTCTGATTGGYTGAGTTTGATAGAATAACACAATGATATCACACGAGAATTCACAACCGAAATTCAMTCAATGATGATATACGATTGGAATGTTGTGGTCGTAGTGACGTTAAAGCTACTGTCAACTTTCTTGAGTGAAACCTGTCTTTTTCGTTTGCAAAGCTCTCGACCTTGGGCCGTGTTTTCTTGTTAATCTGCTAAAAATAACCATTTCAAAGCCGAGTTTCAACTATAAATTTTGCAAACAAATAGTAAAACTTTTTTTTATGAGTTAGCTGATGAAAACCTCCCAAGGAATCTACGTAGGACTGTAACATATTTGCCAATAATTGTGCAAAACTGCGTAGGTTTGTAATAATTGTAAAAAAATAACTATTCGCCTCTATAAATAGATCCAGCTTTTGAGAAAATTGTGTTGTTGAAAGAAAATATAAAAAGGCGCTTAAATAAGGTGTTAATCTGGTGTTTCATTGGCACTTAATGAGCTCAATGCGCCGAGAAATGTTGTACAATTTAATACACAAAGTGTTGTTTGTAAAAGAATGCAGTATGTACGGTACAAGTTGACTTCGTCGASCTTGCTTTCTTTTTCACCTTTTTAGTGCAACTTACAGTCAGTATTTTTTCTTCTTTCCTTTACAAGGAATGTAAATCTATCTGTGAGATGAAGCGAAAGTTCGACTGCATGCATGGTTGAAAGTACAAACTTCATTCATGTAACACAACACCGAAAACAATGACAAAAGTACTCAAAGTACAACAATACCCGGACGGAAAAAATATCTTTTCATGTCATTAAAAAACGGAAATCACTCCTATAAGACTACTCCTTTGCTGAGTTTTCTCTAGAACTCAAATTTCACAAAGTATATTGAAGAAAGCGACTATAGTGGCCTAAAGTGAAACGCTGTTTGCAGTTTTGAACGCATATAAGTCACGATCATTTACGCTGAAACATTTACGCTAGGTTAATTTCCTTCGCAAGGGGTAATTAAGGCGGGCCCCGGTCACCTAGTGACTCACGGATTTTGCATATCGAAAAGCTTGATTTTACTGGTTTTCTTCGACCGCAAGCTCAACGGGGCAGAAGGATGTGGGTGTGGACAGCAGTGGACCAAATAGTCTTGAMTTTCACAATAGTATTTTATTTTAGGGGGGTCGATTAAACCAAAGGAGGAGGGGGGCTATTACTCAAAAGCATTGTTATTGTTTATTTGAGGGTTAATCTTTAAAGTGTAAATCTGGCTGGCTACGTGCTTATAAAAACCTTCCAAGAGTGCAGTTTTAAACCGTGATTTTGTCACCCTTGTAGTACATTAAAAAGGTTATTTGTCTGCTCCCTATAGGCGAAGCTAAAACATTAACGTTATTATTTGAAGGGTGGGGTACGTAATTGAATACACAGAAGTCGTGAACATTGTGTTTCCTTCATGGAAGGAAGTTTCAAAGAAGATTATCGCGAAATTAATAGCACATGCATTCACACGCGTGCGAACATCAATTCAATCAACGCGGTGTAAAAATAGTGGTTATGTAGTTATCCATATTAGAAATTGAAAACCACTAAGTCTTAAGTGACAATATACTAAGTATATAATCAGTGTAATATTGTTAGTGTGCAAGTGCGCGTGCTCAACATGTTTAGATCACGTGATGTCAGTCAATGGCGCGTTTCAGAACTGACCATTCATCTTGAAAATGGAAAAACCCGAATGATTTTTGGTATTAATTTTGTGGTATTTTACTTAGTAAAAGGACTTTCAATATAATATTCTGCGTCCGCATTAGTTTAGGTAGGAACATAGGATTTGTTTTTGTATTTTGTACTAATTTTCAATGACTTTGTGGATGTCATTTTACTCCCGTAGAGTTGCATTGTATCAGCTTTGCAAGTGATTTGAAACCAGTTAGGCAGGACTTCCGTCATCCCATGTTGTTTTGCTACAATTTTATAAGCAAAGTAAATTGATAATATCCATGTTCAAGTGAATTTGTTTTGACTTTTTTATGGATTCCTGTGAAGCGCGTGCGCCGTCCATTCCCGCCTTTTGGCCAAAGCTCTGGTTTACAAAATAATAAATCGGGGACAAGAATATAACGGAATATATTACTTACGTCATTTTGTTACTWGGAACGCCAGAACACAGTGTCATGGTCCCCTGGAATCCTCATACCCGGCTTGTCTGGTTTTCTTGTCATCCTGCAAAGCTGTCAGATCTCGATACAGGTAAGAACATATCCTTTCAATCCTTTACTTTATATTGTCTTAATTATTAAAATTATAKACGTTAAGTTGTTATAATTCACCGTAAACTTATAATTTTCGATGTGATAATAAATACTCGTCGTACCGATTTACGTCATGACGTAAATCCATTCGGCRCGTTTCATCAYGCCGTATGAATAAACGRCCGACGAGWGTTTGAAAACATACAAAATACGGCTTTTTCTTCYTTACAAGTTTTGAAAATTATTACTCATGTATTGAGAGTGTTAGGTGTATAACTTGATAATCATAATGTATTAAGTAATATGAGATTAGATTTTTGTCGTTTAGCGATTCTTTTTTCGCAATAATTATTAAGCTATCGTAGTTCAAAAACGAAATTATAATTTATTGTGGTGTATTTATTATTGTGCCGACATCGTCGGAAACCGCGATTTCGGCTCAGTAACGTAGCTAGTTTCCCCTCCGGCTGCATCGATGTTACGTAAATCGGCGAGAAACAAAAGCCAAATGATTTGATTATAACTTTGATTAAGGTGCGGTGTTTGGCATCAAACGYATCGCGCGTGATACGTTAATTTAGCCTATCATGATTGAAATGATGGTATAGCGCGGAATGAGTCATTAAGAAATGATGGTTTTACGCATAATGCTGCGCAAATCTTACGTATACGGTACGCTTTAAACAAAAGCGCTGATATCACCTGCGAAAATATCCTATGAATGAATTTACGTACGTATATATGTATWTTATTACGTAATTGCTTGCTGTGCTGCTGAAACGCAAGCGGTCGTTAATGAAAACGGGCGTCAATTTAATTAATATCCCCAAATCTTTTTTATACTTTACGTTATTGAAATCCAGTTACGTAAAACGATACGGAAAACGTTACTGATCTTACGCAAACTATTTGCGGTTAAATCCTTTTTCAGAGAAGCTACTGATTAAATCTTTTATTCTTTTCAGTAAAATTAAAACTAACAAAACAAACAAAACAAAACAAAAACATGGACACAAAATTATTTATTGTTTGTCAAGCAATTAAAACTATTCTAATTAAAACATTTTAATTTTACTCGAAATTAGCTTAATATTCGTGGTTAGGAGATTCAGCGATCACAAAAAAAAAAACATTTGACTTTTACGGATGCAAACAGTGTATCATGTACTTTGTCAGCGATTTCTTTTCGGTGCTCTTTTTGTTGAAAAAATTCTTTTCGGCATTAACTAAAACGCACACTTCAGCTTGCGTAAAATTTATGCGCAATTGATTGAACGCTCAGTTGAGGAACTTTTGATAAAGAACATTTGCCGTACTATTACTGAAAGATATTGCGTTTTCAGCATTGAAAACGTGGGTCATTTAGGAAAATTGCGTATGGTRCACCTCATCTTGCGTAAAACTTATGCGCAATTCAGWTGCGTTCAGTTTCATAATCTTTTTATAACATTTGCCGTACTATTACTGAAATTTGTTGCGTTCTCAGTATGGGAAACGTGAGTGATTTATTTGKGGTAATCGCGWACGGTACACTCAGCTTGCGTAAAATGTATATGCAATTAAATGTTATTTGAAACAATAATAGTCATAAAAACTAATAAAATACGCGCAAACTTGAGACGCTTGCGGATATTGGTTCAGTAGTTGTAAAGTTGGTCATTGATATTGCCAAGAACAAAGCACATTTTTTATTTGAGCGCAACAATTCAAAGAAAATTTGTCTACTGATTTGATTTCATTTAAAAGTACTTGACTAAACAAGTTACTAATAACAGAAAATAGACAATTTCTACTAAGTGGATTGTATTATAAATAAACATAACGTTTCATCAATAAAATTAAAGTACTTTTCACCAATAAAGACTTCGTCCAACAGGATTTTTTCCAAGCTCTTTAGAAAAATTTTATGATGTTAATCAAGGTAGCTTTGGTCGCGGTTTAAGCCTTGTAATAAAAAACACCTTTGGAAGTGTAAATATTGACATTCGCCCGCTGCGTGCTAAATATTCCCACTAGAATTAATATCTGTAGTACTAATATCGTCTAGCTATCGGCCCAGCCATCTTGACACAGGCGACACACTACCTACAGATATCAGCTTCCTATACCGTTGTATTACCTTGTCTACGTTATTAGCTTATATCTACGATGTATTAGATCAAACCGGTTGATCTCCGTTGTGATAATGTTGTCTTTGGTAATAAAATTCATTGCCGTCTCGTGTCTCCTATACTGCTGAGACCAAAATGTCGATCTTAGTAGGATGCTTCCACGTCTTGCTGTGAMGATATAAGAGTTCTCTTAGTTCGGCAAACACTGTTCTTATTCAAACAGTAAGGTTTGTCCTTGAGACACTGCGAAAAAGCCGACGGTGGGTTAAAGTGCGCGAGAAAAAGAATGAAAGATGGCTATTTTTTATGGATTGGTATAAAACCAGAAAAGGGGTTTTTAATTTGTATTCAGCGTAAGATTCGTCTACAATGAGCAACTGCGACCTGCAAAGAACCAACAAAGAAAACTTTCATTTTGTAAATTCATTGACATAAAAGCGGTCACATAAAATCTTTTTATTATTTTATTGTTATTTTCTTTGTTCGTTTTTCAATTGTTTCTCATCTGTTTAATCGAAACCACTGGAGAAGTGAATTTGATACAAAAAACATCTTGATATTCTCCAATTCCTTGATTTGCATGACTTTTTCCTTTTGAAAATTGGAGRAATTCAATACAAAAGGGATGTTTTGTTTGGAACTGAAAACCTTTAATCTAAAATTGTACCCGGRCTGTAAACCTCTTCGTTTCTATTTTTAACATAAAACTAGTTTTTATTGAGTGGAATCATTGAAAATCAAAACTAGCTACAAAAGGATTTTTGTTTAAAATAAAAACTGCCTCTTTGTATCATTTAATATCTCTTTGTCTCTAGACTATGATGATTRTATTTCATTTTGTCGTCAAGAGTTTTATCTAAGATTACCTGATAAATTCAGTTTCATCACTGCTTGGTCATAAATACTTTTTGTTGATATTAAAGAAGTTCTTATCTCGACGTTATTAAATTTCGTTTTCTTCGAATCGTCTTATACTTATGACGCGCGCGTGTTTTTTAGAAAACCAGAATCACTTAATCGCTTAGTTTTCCATATTTATTGGACTCAATTATCCTTAATCTGGCAACCCAGGTCCTTGTCTAGCGTTTTTTCATATATTCACTAATTATTTCAAAGTGATACTATCAATGGCAACAAAAACATTCTATTTTCTSTCGACAGTTGCTTTWCCTTTGCTTGTAAATGTCCCCACCAGCGCGATCTAATAACAAAATCTAACCAGAACAAATACAAAACCACACAATAAAAACAACAACAAAAACCCAATAAACTCAAATATCATCATTTTCCTCACCAGAAAACCTCATTCCAGCTTTGGTCACTTTTTGCTTACCGAAAATGATTACTTTCTCTCGTTTTGCGGTTGCCCRATGATGATATTTTGACGTCATTATATTTCGGCAAAGTGCCAGTCCAATAAGTTCGTAATGTTGGTTTTTCTCAATTGTTTCACACTTTTGTTTGATAAAGCAATTTATTCGAGCTCACYAGAGGCAGTGTTTACACGAGATTCGTTAAGTGACACACAGTATTTTTCAGCTGGGGTATGGTGGAAATGAGGTTTAGTTAAATTTCCTTTCACGCTCATTCCGTTTGCAAATCTGACAGCACCAAATGTCAAGCTTAATTAAACAGTGTCGTAGCGAAATATAACTTTAAAACAGTGCCTGTTTGTAAAAGGAGTTTTTGTCGGTCAAGATTTATGTTATCCTGAATAATTTGAGCAAACAATTTCGAGTGTCTTGTTTGCAAGTGCTTGAATTMMCYCGACGTGTCTCTCCATTTGTTCGCAATAGTCAAGTGTTGAAAAAGCAAACTGTCGTATGAGTTTTTCAATTTCCTACAAGACTCGAGCGTCGTTTAACAGGGAAGGATGTCCAAGCTGACAGTAATATCGACGACAAGTGTTTCAGTTTATCATTGACTTATTTATCTTAAGACCAGACTTCTTACCAAGCTTTACTTTTCTAATTTCTATTGTCGCTCTAATCTCGAGCCAATAAACAGTATTCTTGTTAGTGGATTTTGCGTTGCTTCGGTTATTGGAAGTGTGGAATTAACCCGTCAATATGCGGTAACTAATCACACCAACGAGGTACAAATTAAGTACTTTTCTCTAATTTTGAACCCTCTGATTTGTCTTGCAATTCAGTTATGCGGTGTCGGTATTTTCCGCCTCTCTTAGTCATTAGTTATGCCCAAAAGAGCCGAATCAAACGCTAATAAACGGTTATGAATGTGTTCGGTGAATACACGATGGTGTTGAAGGAGGAGTACCTTGTACACCTACCAGTTTTGTTGAATCAAAGAAAATCAACCGCGATGCAATCTGTAGAAAAAACCCAAGATAACATTACAGACACAACTCAACACCGCGCGCAAACGAACTGGACAACGATTTAATAACCAACGGGATACGTGCGTATACGCGCACGCAMAACGCAGCAAACACGCTACACGCCGATAAGAACGACTTTTGTAGAAATATCTGTTGTGACTCAAAATGAACAGTAYACCWAATACAACGCTGGACAAAGTGCTGATACAAGAGCACTCCTTCTCTTTTTAATTAACCTTGTCAGAGCCTTACAAACAATAAACGCACCCTACAAAGCGGCCGAGAGAACAAAACGAATTTAGTGGTCCGTGTGAAGACGAGTGGTAGCTGCGACAATCAATGCTCCACAAATGCGTGGTTGGGTTTCGCGCGAGCGCGAGGTTGGGCCGGTCTCTTTTGACTTCCCCATTGGACCGCTCAACCTTCACTTCAGCCGCAAAACAAATTTGAATATTTGATTTAAACTGTCATGAAAGCGGCCTTTTGTTGGGACCCAAACTTCAATAAGGAAATTAACGAGTAATTTGGCTAAGTTTCGGTTTGATAGACATGTGATAATTAGTTATTCTGTATTTAATCGGCATCGACAGGCGGCCTCTTGTAATGTCAACACCACTATACAAGCCTACAATTCAAAGGATCCCTTGAAGCGGCTCAAAACAAAGGAAGTTTTTGAAGTCAGTCGGTCTATTTTRCAAGCGCTATTTAGTTTGATAGCTAAAATACACACATTGGAAGGTTCTTCAAACGTACCACAGCTGCTTGAAGGATAACGTTCTCTCCGAGAAACATCTGAGTAGAAATTTTCTGYCTTTGGTCTGTCTACTATGCCGAGGCCTTTGCGAAACAGCTACGGCAGCGCAAAGCCACCGTATTCCTACATTTCTCTTACTGCCATGGCTATACAGAGCTCTCCGCAGAAAATGCTGTCACTATGCGAGATCTACCAGTTCATTATGGATCACTTTCCCTTCTACAGGGAGAATACCCAAAGATGGCAGAACTCTCTCCGACACAACTTGTCATTCAATGACTGTTTTGTGAAGATCCCTCGCCGTCCCGACCAGCCAGGGAAAGGAAGCTTATGGGCCTTGCATCCAGACTGTGGAACGATGTTCGAAAACGGCAGCTTCTTGCGTCGCAGAAAACGATTCAAGTCGGAGAGAGATAGGACGAAGAAGCTTGCTAAAATGATAACTGCTGTTGCAAGAGATGAAGACGAACCAAGTATGGACACACGGACTCCTTCACCTCCAGTTGCTACCTCTACGAGTTTTAAACATCCGTTCGCAATAGAAAACCTGATAGGTAATAATAGAAAGACCGTTACTACTGCGCCAACCGCTCCAATACCATCATTGCCAACTTGTCCTACTTGTGTGAACACTCCAAATGCTACCGTAATTTCAGGATACCAAAACAATCTTTGGACGCCTGTCCCCAAGTACTGTGGTGGACAGTCGAAACCGTGCTCACATCATCAACCACAGCGCGTTAAGGAACTAGAATGTGTTGTGAATTCGTATCCAACTTACTCCAGATTCAGCCCTGACTTGGCTTGTGGGCTTGCAGACGTTATGCCATATTGTGCAGCACAAGTATCCAACGCTGCAGCTTTCGCTTCGCCGATGTTTTCCATGAATTCGTCGTTCTAGAATCCTTAATCTACATTCTAGAACGAGTAATCGCGTGACAGACACATTTACTAGAACACGATTTACATCATAATTTTCACCTCTTTTTTGTATTAAAAAGGCGCGAAGTTCTTTCAAGAAAGACACCTCGGTAGATAATTTTAATAGCTCGAAATTATTATGTTTGTACAGAAAGTTATTATGTCTTGCCGCCAGAACAAGCCAAAGATAAATTTAGCGGGATTAACGTAGAATCCAAGGAAAGAGTTTATCGTTGCTCAGTGTACTCTGGCTCGTAAAACTAACAATTCTACAACATGTAAATAGTTTATTGATTGTTGATGTTCTCTATATGTACTTAAGGTACGTTACTGCTTCTTATCCCGTTAGCTAACATCGTTTCCAGGTATGCATATAAATCGATAACAAGGCAGAATTATTCTTTATTGATTCTATAAGAATCGACATGTAGGACATATCTAGCGAATTTCTATATCTATAAATATAAAGCTTATTTTTCAAAGATTATAAACGGTTTATTGACTAAGATACCTCAAAGTTTGCCTACAGTATTTCCACTGTTGTTGTTTTGTATCAACATGCTGTGTGWGGGTTAGGATTCTAGTGTTTTAGGAGTTTTTTTTGACCTTGGAATTAGTAAAAAAGTAAGCTTAGAAACAGCTTTGTTCGGTACTGACTTTGTCAAATCTACAGTATATCTTATTGGTTTAAGGAACAACATGAGACCTCTATAAACAGAAACTACGATTAAATAATTATGAAGAAGTTAGAACATTGTGCGTGTCTTTGTACTGGTAGATGTGATTCATTTATCCGCGGTTTATACTTCTAGTTATGTTTTTAAAATTGTCTTATTTAATTTCTACGAGAAATTAGATTTGACGCAGCCTCTGCGGTCTGAACAGCGCGATGTTCGTTGTTGTTTAGCTTTGCGTTTATTTTTTTTATCTGCTTATTTAACGGTCATGAAACGGATGGTTAGAAGGTCAAGAGTCTCTCTTTACCGTCGACCAAGCACTTAACAGGCAATTTAGGGAACACTTGTAGGCTAGTAACACTTSTATATGTTTTAGCTTACTGATGGTTGTGAAACATAATGGGTGGCCATTGGCGACAAGATTTCCATCTYKTCCGATTTCCTTCGCGCGTCCGTACAACCCACCCAAGCTTGAGCTATTCAAATTGAGGAATTTTGGGATCAAAAATCAAATAAAATCATTTAAACTCATAAAGGAAAAATAGCTTGCGGCAGTACAGAATTAGAAAATTGTTATGATCTTAAGCTTGGGTGGGACGAAATGGAAACAAGTTCGAAGCGCAGTTGCCAAGGACCTATATTCTCACCAAAGGAATGTTTATTAGYTTTTACTTTTCCCTGTGGTGCGTTACTCAGACGACTAAAACAATTTTCAATTTTATTACTTAACGGTGAAGTTAAACTTTGCCCCCCTGCTCTATAAACTCCATGGGATGTGTTCGAGTGCAGTAGAGTTCCAACAACCTATGTCTCCGGCGTCATGCTGGAATATCCTACGACTAAATCTTCGAGATACTTCAATAAGACAACGCACTTAAACTTCGATTTTCTCATTTTATTCTTGTCTTTAAGTAGATGTTGCTCTAGGGTGTATTAAGTGTAGGTCTAGCAACAATTACCTATTAACCCTGCGAGCACAAATCAACTTTGATCACAGCAATAAAAACTCACCTTTCCTTGGAACAAAAACATAGCCAAAGTTTTGTAATTAATAGCGTAAAAATGGTCGTGTAGTTCTAACAAAATCAGTTGGAGACTTGGACTGTGGACCAAATACCCGTTTTTGGACTTCTCAATATTATGAATAGGGGRCAATTTTATTAGAAAGAATAACAGACTTTTAATTTCTCTGTTCCTTGGGGTGCTTGGCATTTTGACGACTCTTGCTAACATTGTTAATCARTATTGGTTTTCCATGTCAACTTAACTGTGTACTTTGTCTCTAAACTAAACAAAGTCACTAAAGGGAAATCCTTCTTTGCTTAAATGAACTTCAATCAATGGAAAAAAGAATTATTTGGTCTCAATAAAATGCTTGAAAAAGGGGGTATGGTGTGTGTGTTTTTGTTTTGTTTTTTGAGATGGAGAGAGAGAAAGACGCTTCCAAAGAGCGCGCCAACCAAGAAGAACAATGATTATTTTTTCTTTGCAAATACAAAACTCAATAAGCCGTGATTTGCACGCATTACAGCAAACAGAGATTTTTGCAGGTATTCATGACAGCAGCTATGTCTTTCGACTCGTTCATGACTGGAGTCTCGCAGACTGTGTCCTGACCGCCAGAACAAAACAATGGCGTCCTCTCGTCGCATTTTGACAAGTGTTAAAGACCCGGCGCAATAAATACGAGATGGTCCAGATGATTTAATCGACTGACTAAGAGAGTCAAGTTTCGTTTAATGACGGTAAATTCTGAGCACCTTTAGGCTGACATCTTTGAGTGAAAAGGCTGCTTAATAATGACTTTAAAAACCTGAATGAACGCAGCACGGTCAACCACAGAACAACAAACCAACTTCTTAGGGGAGAAATCTTTATTATTCTTCTTGTAACATTTTACATTTTTCAAAACAATACCAACACACTAGCTCTTTAGACTAAACTGCAAAATTAAGAAATTGGAATTATGAGATTGCTGCAGGTAATCCAGTTAGTCCGGCGGTGCTTAAAAAAGATGCGGCAGAGCTCTGGATGCGTGCTGTAAAAATACATGTTGAATTCTGTAGTGTTTTTTCAAAGAGTGGTACTCCAAAAATACCCATATAATGTTTGACAATAAAGTAGAAAGGGAAGAATCCCTTACAGAGGGTTAAGGACAAAGAGTAATGAATCGTTTCCTGAAGTTCTAGGAAGGTAATAAAATACTGCGAAAATGATGGGACTCCTAGTGTTTCGCTAAACCTATAATAGTCCACTTCTACAGCAATCAAATCACTGCGGTACCGATTTGTTTTCCCCCCAAAAAAATCTTCTTTAGCTGCAAAATTATGTTTTTCGCCAGGTGATTTCAATTTCTCTTAGAGTAACACAGAACAAGTAGTGTCAGCTTCAGCTTTTCTACTCTCTCAGGAATTATGCGTCGAGTCATGTTGTCGGGTGTACAAACCCATCCTTGAATTCCGAACACATTCTATATCTTTTAACTCACATTTGCTATAGTTTTATCCAAARATATTCAACAGAAAGCTAGGGTATCGTGATATTTTAAATTATGCTATGAAAGAGATTTTGCATCCTAACTTGTAGTTTCAAAGCCATGTAACTGACTGTGAATACACTTGTTTCAAACAATATAAGTAAAATAGAATTAAATCAACAATACCTGAACAGCCCTATATGTTTTTTTTCCTTTTGARTAACCTCTTGACTAAGGAAAATCTATCATAATTGGATGGTGTTTGGAAGGCATAAAATACAACTTGGTAACGAAGAAGAAGAGGCTTTAAGCGGTCTCTTARCTATAGATTCATACTGTACTTAAGCCGATATATTCGTGTGGATGGTTTCTTAGTCTAAACCCAGTATCTTCAACTGAACCAATGATTTCTGAACCCCTTCGACACCACGTATGCCCTATTGTCATAAAGTTACAAAGTTAGTCGTCAAATGTTCAAAACTCTTCTCTTGTCGAAATTAATACACGATGATGTGCACTCGAATCATTTCTTCGCTAAGCTCAAGACAGAACTCATTCAATACGGGTTTTAAGACAATACATAAATGACACGAGAAATTCTTTTTTTTCGGCTATTAGTGTTTAGGTTTTCTTAACCAAAAAGACACAATTAAATCGGGAAGATCATGTGAATTTGTGGTTTGTGGGCGCTTTGATGATCCTTGCCGCCATGTTTTCAGTTCCCTCGATGAATCCGTATGATCGTAGCACATATATCAACTGTGCTCAATGTATCTAAAATCACTAGCAAACATAGCAAAAAACACAGCATCATTCAACGAAAAACTACCACTACAGAGCCAAACAGACTTAATTTAAACAAATCTGGACCAAGTACTTGAGATGTGCGGTTGGACAAATAAATGGAGTCCCATTGGCCGCGTAAACGGTCGCTTATGTTTACAATGATTCTACTAAGAAGAGACGTTATTACAATTAAAGCAAACTAGTCCCACTAAGATTGAGCTTAGGCTGCGGCGCTTTAGAAGCCAAACGAGGCAATAAGCGCTTATCGTATTCCAATTGCCTTATTAACTAGACACCGCTCTACCTTTGTATTACCAGTCAGCTTGGGGGCAATGGAATGGAATCTACCGCATCCAACAGATAAACTTCAGATGGGATTTATGTGCGAAAAACACCGGAATAATACTCCTTCCCGGTTGCTTGTAAAACATACTAACGTACTGACTGCGTTCGCGGGTCATGGTATTCAGGTTCGGCGTTTCTTTGATCTGAGCACCGTGTGTTGGGCCCCTACTTGAGTCATACTTGCATTCAGCTTATTAAAGTGGTGGGGGACCATTGGGGAATACTGACATGTATAGATACTACACTTGTCATATGCCGTCACGTTCTAGTTATTAAACTAGTTAAATAGTACGGAACTTCGAGTCCATCCAACGGAAGCCAATGTTCCGTTACACTATTGAAATTAAGGCTACAAAATTAAAAAGGCCAAGCAATAATCCTGAGATATAAATGGAATTCAAGGCTGATATGATTGGTAGAACAATATGGGCTCTAATTTCCCGCGATCGAATGTTCGAACAATTGAACGATCGAACGTTCCATTGTATATATCGAACTCCGTCAGTCAAAACTTGCCGACTCCGCAAACCATCATCCTTTGTCGGTAWSATCATGAATGAGGAATTAAGATTTCTCAAAGATTAAAACCCGCTTAAATTTTGGGAAAGTTCTCCTGCGAAGGGCCGTTGACGAGAACCCCCCTAAGACCAACTGTGACATCAAAAGRGAAGAAGATAGAAAGATGATATAGTCGGTCTTACCCCACGGACAATTTCCCGAATGAAACGTACCGTGTTTGACTGATTGTTGGACTCATTAACCGAGCCATTACAGATAGACACACCTGGTTAATGGCATATTCCTGCTTTTCATCGTTTGGTTACCTGTTTTTAGCGTGCTTTTATCATRTGTCATTATCGCTATGTATTGCTCACAGCCATGAGTCTTGTCGCAATAAAAAGAAATTATTATTGCGTCTTTTTGTTAAAAAACACCATGGCTATTTGTCAGTTTTCTTTGATTTGTTTGGCTATTTGTAATGTAATATCTGTATTATCTGTTCAAAAGCAGCGCCTTTCCCGGTGAGATGTTTATTTTTTGTCGTTTTACTTCAATTTCTTTATTTTTATCTTTACATTTTACCTTAAGCTAAGAAATCTGCCGTAGACTTGACTTCTGTTGTGTTAGCCAACATCTTAACTTCATAATATTCAATCGCTCAATTCAAGTAAAAAAAAACACACAMMAMAAMMCCCAAAAAAAACATTGATTTTGTCGGATTTAATTTTGGAATTGACTTAACACATTTCACACTATTTTWCAAGGATTTAACCTGCATCAGTCTTTATTAAATCAACTATTTGTAGGTCCATGGGATTATGTTTGGGCACCGCTAAAAAACACGCATTAATCTCAAGGAAAAGGAACAGACAAATCCTTCAAATAAAATGTYCTGAATTTTAGTCAATATTTGAAATTAAATTTCTATGTCAACACACCTACACTTACAAAACGGACAGGAATAAAA